CATGGAATTACACCAAAAATGAAGCCACAACAGGCAGAGGCCACATGTCGCCATCAGCACCCTCTGCACTGACTATCCCCCCACCCTCCCCCGTTCCCACCTTCCTGAGTCATATTTCAAGATACCTTTAGCTCAACACACACAGCTTCCTATGGGTACATTATGTTTGCCTCAGGACCCGATGCTCTGCGTCTCATGTCTGGCATTGAGACTCATAATCCCCGCGAGGCTCCTGAAGGAGCCTGGGGAGACTACTGTTGGCTTCATTCCATGCCCTTGAGCACGTGGCAGGCAGAGGTCAATGCCAGGTACCCTCCTCAACTGCTAGCCACCTTAGTTTTTTATATAGGGGCTCTCAGTGTACCAGTAGTTCAACAACTAGACTGGCCAGCAAACCCAGAGAATTGTCCTGCTTCCTTCTGGCTGAGGTTACAGGTGGACACTACCACACTTTGCCTTTGAATGGGTCTGGGGATCCAAATGCAGGTCCTCATTCTTTCGTGGCAAATACTTTACTTACTGAGCTGTCTCCTTAGCACATGCACACTTACAAACATACATGTCTACATGAATACTCAAAAGAACACCATTAAATAGAGACAGAATTGCATCAGACATCATCTGAGGGTGATAGTAAAGACTTCCCATCTTGCTGCAGCCTGTCTACCTAGTATTCCCAACAATGGCTTCAAAAATTCCTTGGCCTGTGACTTTTGTTCTGTCCTTATTAAAGCCTCATGTGACTGTTACCACTTTAGAATATGATATAATGAGTAACTTCAATCTGTGTTTCTATGCCTTGGTCACTCCTATTTGGCTCAAGAATATGCCCTCTTCAGGTTATCACCTGCATTCTCCTGTTCTAAGGAATGGAGTAGACAGCAAGGTCTCCAGGCTTCAGAAGACTCATTGAGATTATGAACATCAATGCTGGACATAGGATAGAGAGTACCAGCTTGTAGTGATATTTTGTTTCTAATCTAACAAATACAGCTTACCTGAAGATCAGAGTGCAGAGCTAAGCCACTAGTTAGCCACATACCTAGTTAAGAGCTAAGCCCTAGTTAGCCATAATCCAAGCACTTGGGAGACAGAGGCAGATGGATCTCTGTGAGTTCAAGGCCACCCTGGGCTACATGAGAGTGAATCAGACTAAAATAGAAACAGAGCTCACACCTTTGATCCCAGCACTTGGGATGACACGCCTTTAATCCCAGCACTAGAGAGGAATATAAGGCAGGAGCTCAGTGCAGTTTGGGCAGTCTGAGGTTTGGTCGAGAGCATTGCAGCCTGCAGTCACTCTGAGGACAGGATAGCCCCTTTTTGGTCTTAGCCTTGGTAAAGGTAAGAATTCTCTAATGGCTTAGCTGCTTTGCTTTTCTGACCTTAGTTTGAACCCCAATATATGTCTCTGTATTTTTATTATTAAGATGAACTGGAATTCATGCTACACCAGCTGTCCTTCGGCAAAGGTGACTTGCCGGCTGGGAGCTGTCAGTGCTGAGCTGAAGATGTCTTGAGATGGGACTCAGGAAGATGGGGGGAGGGTGGGAGTAGTTAGTGCAGATGGAGCAGGTGCGGATGGTGGCATGCATGGAGATACAACCATAGTCCTCGAGAAAGACAAGGGCAGACCAGGGCCTTCGAGTGCAGGCATTAGGCATAGCCTCTGCCTGCTGTGGCTTCATTTTGGGTCCAACTCCGTGACCCTAAACACAGTGTCTAACATTTCTGCACCTCATTTTCTTCCTTATATATTATATAAATGAGGCTAGGAAAGCCAGAGTCAGAGTCAGACCGAGTGCAGGTAGAGTACTCTCTTGGCATGCAGGAGCCCTTAGCACCGCATAGAATGAGCATGTGATGCATATCATTTGGAGGCGGAGTGTAATAATACGGCACGGTACGAGGCAGGACCTTTGGCAGATCCCATGGTGGGTGAGGGACAGAGAGAGGCTGAGACAGACAGAGACCTGCCAACATAGCTTCTGTAGAAAGTTTGTTGGGGGAAAGTAAGGGAGTAAGGAAAGGGAAGAGAGAAGAGACAGAGAGGGCTGCCTCCTCAGAGAAATGGCAGACAGAGCGGAAGTGGGTGGCGCTTGCCTCTTAAAGGGACTTTTGCACCTGCATACAGAGCTAGGATACTGCCTGCCATGCATGCCAGGTCCCTAAGGGTCAGGGCCAGGTTTGCGTTTGCCTGGATGGTAACAGGGAGGATCAGAAGTTCAAACCATATAGGGAATTGGAGGGCGGCTAGAGATGCAGGAGACTGCCTCAGAACAAGTCGAGAACACCTAGAAATCTACAATCTGCTTCCTCAGGGGGCTCTGGAAAGTAAATGAAGCAATAGGCATGGAACTCAGAATCCTGACCTGCACACATAAAGCACTCAATAAAATTGCCAAGCTCACAGTCAGCGAGGGAAGAACTGAGGTTTTGTTTGCTTGGAGCTTTTTTGTAGCTTCCCTCTGAGCCTTATTTATCATTTTGGCTTGCCATTATTCCAGGAGTCATTTGTAAGCAATCTCAGATGGGCTTACGGAATATCAGGGAAGGCTAATTAGTATTCGAATGCTCGAAGCCTCCTTTATGCTCAGCTAATGAGACAGCCATTCATTGACTTAAGCTCTCTGGCTTTAATTATAAGTCTTGGTACATGAAAGCGCTGCCCCAATCTCAGGCCCTGCTTTGCCAAGCATGCTGATGGGATGGACGCAAGCTCCTCAGACGTTTCATATACCCATGACTCATGGCTGCAGTCAGGGGCAATCACTATCGATTACCTCAGCCGTGAAAAACACACAAATAACTGGTTTTGTCTGTGGTCAGAGGAACCAGTCATGATTAGGAAATTCGGCTCCAGTTCATCCTTTCCATGGAAGCCTTAGAATAGAAGTCAAATCTTGCTCAGTTGTAAAAGAAATTGTCATGCATATGCATATTCATTCATTCATTCATTCATTCATTCACTTCCCCATTATTCACTGGACACCAGTTGGATGGCTGAGCCTCTGGCAGCCTGCTACCTCAAGTGACAATGTAACCTGAAGCCTTTCCCACCCACTAAATGTTTATAAGTTAACAGGACTACTTACAATAGAGCTACATATTTGTAAGTTATAGAGCAGACTGCTTTCTTTTACCTCCAAATGCCCAGGGTCCTGGGACTTCTGTCACCCTGAGCAAACCTGGACAACTGCTCCTGCCAATAAGGAACAGGCCCAGGGCCTGGAGATGTAGTTTATTTTGTAGAATGCCTGCCTCACATGGATGAAACTCTGGCATTTGGGAGGTAGAAGCAGGATAGTCACAAGTTCAAGGTCATCCTCAGGTACCTAGGGAGTTGGAGGCCAGCCTGGGATACAAGAGATGCAGTTGACAAACAAACAAAACAGCGACAACAAAAGAAACAGGCTTGTCCCTCCAGTTGGCAAGACTTTGATCTTGTAATAACTCAGGGTGCCTCACTCCAGCTTCCTTCCTGGTCGAGGGGCCAGGTCCTCACCTCCTTTTGGGGATAGTGCTGGATCCACTACCCTTGTTACCTTAGCTGTTCTGCTTGTGAGTTCATTTGAATGAACCTTCAAGCAACTTTGAACGTCCCAGTTTTCATTATCATTTGGAATTCCTTTGTACTCCTCAGTCCCTGCTTCTTTGAAGGTGTTTTTTTTTTTTTTTTTAACTTGAGCCAAATGTATAATTCACCAAGTGAATGAAGCTCCTATTTGGGGCCCGGCTGGGTATTTATGGATCCCTTACTCTGACTGATCCTCAGTTCCCTACCTTGACAAGTAGGAAAAATAAACATGTTTACTGAGTTACAGGGTGAGTATGAATTCGAATGAGGTGGTGGACATGAGCTGAACATTTATTATAATTTTTAGTGATTCATTAATGTCACACTGTGTATTGAACACGTGCTCTATCAAGACTTCCTGGAAGCTGCAGTTTTGGAAGGAAAACAAGCACACATTTGCGTTCGCAGCGAGCCACTGGGTGTGGCATTAGTGCCAGCAGTTACCTGAACAGTGGCCTAGAACCTCAAAGGGAGGGTGGAGAACTGTCCTTGGGCATTCTGGGAAACTTCCTAGAGGAGGTGAATTTTGAATGAAGGGGGGTCAGCTCAAAGTCATCACCAGCTATATATCGAGTTTGAGGCCAGCCCGGGCTGGGCAACCCTATCTCAAAAAAGTCAAAACCTTTCAAGGTGGAAGGCAATTTCATGTCTGAACATCTTGTCAGCCACAGCAGATGGCAGCATGGGCAGCTATAACACTAGGAGTCCTCAGTAGACAGTAGTTTCTGGAGTCGTCCTCAGATTTCATGGCTAGAAGCAACTCTGAAGCTTTGGGGTCCGTGATCTCTAAGGACTGGCCACTTGGTGATGTTCGGAATAAGGGAATACGACGCGAGGTGGGACAAGGTGGATCCCATGGCTGGGGACAAACATACCATCAGGCAGAGCTTACATGAGAAGGAAGTTTCATTGGGAAGTTGTGGAAGAGAAAGAGAGAGAGGAGAGAGAAGAAAAAAAGAGAGAGGGGCAGAGAGAAAGGGGGGGGCAGGTAGAGAACAGTCTGCCTCCCCGGAGAGATGGCGAAAGACAGAGAGTAGAGGTGGGCAGTTTGCCTCTTAAAGAAACCTTTATACCTGCGTGCAGACTACCTGGTTATGTAGCAGCCGTAGGACCCTGGGCTGGCCAGGGTAATGCCTGAGTGCATCCTGCCAGGTGACAGGGAGCAATGCCTGAATCCTAACAGGAAACCTCTTAGCTTTGCCAGTTGGGAGCTCAGCCCTGTGTTTGGCCTTACTCATTAGCAAGAGGTGACTAGCAATTCAACCAATCCAGAAGCATCTAGAGTTTGAACCTCTCAGATTAAGTGATACTCACCCAAGGGCAGGTCTGGGAGGGAGAGGATGTAAACAGTCACTTCCGATCCCTCTCTCCTCTCCAGAACTTGTGTCAACCTTGAGGAGACTTATCTCCCAGATAAGAAGAAAGTCAGGCAGGCACCTGGCAAAGGTCGGCGAAACCTGGACCCACTGTTTGTCTCTCTTCCTGAGTTACTCAAGTTCCTTTGAAGCTCAGTTTAAGTGAGAGGCTGAATTTGGCTGACAGGGTGTTTTCAAGTGACACGAGGTAAGAAGGAAAGAGGAGGCTGGGCTGCCAAATGATTAAAGGGTGGTTCTGATGAAATACAGCATTTTGTTTTTTAAAGCGTTTAAAGAGACTCGAGAAGCAGACACATCCACACAACAGAGCAAAATTCAAACAGGGCAAAGAGTCAATTGAAATTGCCACATTTGTGTGTACATCTTTTTATATTTACATATACACACAGGAAACGTCTTTGTTGTTTACCAGTTGTGATACTGACAGCATTCTCTCTTACTTTACAGTAATAAACCTGGGAGAGCATGACTGTTTACATCTCTGCAGAGAAACTCTGTTCTTTTCTATGACAGTCGAAGTCCATTGCACAAGTGTCCCACAATGGATGCCGATGCTTCTGCTTTCTGGGTGGTACATTAGTCAGACTCGTGTATTTAGCTTTTAGAAACAACACCTTGATAAAACTGCTGTGTTTGAGTCTGCATCTGAGGAGGCAGAGGATCTGGAGAGAGACAGCACTGAAACTCCCAAACTCCGCAAGTTCAAACTATGAGACTGTTGGAGATACAGGGACTGTCAGTGGATACCGAGGCACTCGGGACAGCAGGAAGATGCTGCTGTGTCCACCTGAAGGGAAAGTGATACCAGTGGAGCTGTGTACACAGGAGCTGTGAATTACCCTTCACTCAGAGCAAGATGAGGAAAGCATTAACCTATTTTAAGTTTAAAAATAAAGCCTTCTAAGAGGGCTGTGGATACTACTCAGTGGTAACTCCATTGTGTAGCACTTGTGAAGCCCTTGGCTGGGCTCTGTTAAGTCTCAAGCCCTGGAACAAATGGTTGACGCTGCCCCTGCCAGTGCTGTCCCCTTTATCTACCATAAAATTTCTCCTCCACCATACCTAGGAACAGCCATGCCTTTCTCTCTTATTTCTTTTTTTAGTCAGTCTCCAGCACCAAAACCAAAACAAATGAAACACAAAAGGCAAAACCCAACACCACCACCAACAAAATAAAAAAGGAGAAAACAGTAATTATAACCATCTAAAAGACTCCAGTGGCTAAATCACCTGTAGGTCCATTTCTATTGTTGTGTCATGCCCCTGACCCTCAACTAGTTAGACTCTGTGCTGGATGGTTTTAGGTCAAGCTGATACAAATTAAAGTCATTAGAAATGAGGGAGGGCTGGAGAGATGGCTCAGAGTTTAAGAGCACTGACTGCTCTTCCAGAGGTCCTGAGTTCAATTCCCAGCAACCACATGGTGGCTCACAACCATCTGTAATGAGATCTGGTGCCCTCTTCTGGTATGTGCAGACATACATGGAGGAAGGATGTCGTATTCATAATAAATAAATCTTAAAAAAAAAAGAAATGAGGGAGCCACAATTAAGAAAATGCCGATCTGCTTGTAGGGTATTTTCTTAATTAGTGATTGATGTGGGAGAGCCCAGTCCTTTGTGGGTTATTTCATCCCTGGCCTGGTGATCCTGGACTCTATAAGAAAGTAGGTCAGGGCCGGGTGGTAGTGGTGGTGGTGCATGCCTTTAATCCCAGCACTTGGGAGACAGAGAAAGGTGGATCTCTGTGAAGTTGAGGCCAACCTGGTCTACAGAGTGAGTTCAAGGATAGCCAGACAGCCAGGGCTACACAGAGAAACCCTGTCTCAAAGAAGAAGAGGAGGTGGAGGTGGAGGAGGAGGAGGAGGAGGAGGAGGAGGAGGAGGAGGAGAAAAGAAAAAAGAAAGAAGAAAAAGAAAAGAAGAGAAAAGAGGCAGGTTGAGCAAGCCATGAGGAGAAAGCAAGCCGGTAAGCAGCACTCCTCTGTGGACTCTGCACAGCTCCTGCCTCCAGGTTCCTGTCCTGCTAGTGCCTGACCTGACTTCCTTCGATGATGAACGGTGCTGTGGAAGTGTAAGCCAAATAAACCCTTTCCTCTCCAATGTGGTTTTTGGTCATGGTGTTTCATTGTATCAGTAGTAACACCTAACCAACTCTAACTAAGATGGACTCTCTTTTAGTATGTCTGACCTTTGTGTAGATTCCCCCAGAGATCCCTTCTGAGAACCTGGGATGTTAAACATGGCTCTTTGGTCTCAGTGAATCCTGAACTGTAATGCTGGCATCCCCACTACTGTGAGACTATGAACACTTGTGTTCAGTTTCCAACATATTGGTTTGGGGTGTTTTGTTTTTTGCTTTGGCAGTACTGGGGATTGAACCCAGGACCTTACATGTACTAGGTGAATGCACTGAATTCCACCCTCAGCTGCTTTCTTTGTGGCTTAGCTTCTGGTCCACACAGCTTCAGGTGACAGCAAACACCCATTGCCAAAAGAAAAACTGTAGTTCTGGCCTCAGCTTTTTGCTTCTTATTTCTGCTGAGGTGACTTTTTTTAATTGAACATTTTGTTGACACCTACGGAGATGACCTTGCAAAGTCTTTTCCTTATTCCATTAATATAGCCTATTAGCCTGATTGACTTTATTTTATTTATTTGTGTGTATGTATATGCATTTGTGCCCCTTGTGCTTATGCATGCAGCTGCCCCTGGAGGCCAGAGAGGGTGATGGTTCCCCTGGTTCTGGAATTACAGGTATCTGTGGGAACCTGATGTGGGTGCTGAGAACTGATCTCTGGTTCTCGGGAAGGGCAGCAAGCTTAACCACTGAGCCATCTCTCCAGCCCCACGACTGTTTTTTATGTGCTGAATCAGTCTTGCACTCGTGAAGTAAATCCCACTTAGCCATAGTCAAAAACAAAAATAAGAGACATTCAGATTGGAAAGAAGGAAGCCAAATTGTCTTCATTAGCAGATGGAATGTTGTTAGACTTCATGAGTTAGTGTCTGCCTAGGACTGGAGAATGGGGAAATGAAGAGGAAATAGAGAGGAAATGAAGGGGAAACAGAGGAGAAATGAAGGGGAAACATGGTGGCTGTTAATGGCTTTTTGGATGATTGATGGGGATGTTCTAAAATTGATGGTTTCATAACTCTGAATATCATAAAAACCATTGAATTGTATGCTTCAGAATGAATGAGTTGTATGCTACTTGAGTCCAATTTCAGTAAAAATGTTTTTTATATGATTATGTGGTCAGTTTCCAGGAAAATTTAAAAAGCAACTGAGGAAGAAATTGAAAATCTGAATAATTGAGGAATCCTAGAAGAAATGTAAAAGATATTTGAAAAATCTCTTCCCTCATCCTCTTCCTCTAGTTTGAGAGGAAGACACTGGACCAGACTATTCTAGAGTCAAGTTATAGAAAAAAACCTAACCATTTCCATATGTTTTCTTACCTGCATTTGAAGCATAGGAACAAAGAATAACCATTCAGTTCATTTGACATAGCTAAGCACCATTTGATAATTCAGTAAAACAGGGTGTGGACAACATAAAAGAATAAGACAGAAAATTTTAATCCAATATGCTTATGAGCTCAGATGCAAATACCTTAGATAAACCATAATAAATTGAATTATCAATATGATAGAAAATACTCATCAGAGTTTATTCCAAAGCTTTCAAGATAGTTCAACACAGGGAAATCTAGCAATAAAATCATTTTCAGTGATATGTTTATAGAGAAATAATTATGGTTATCAGAATAAATCATAAAAGATACCTAATTAAATTTAACACCAATGACTGATTGTAAAATCTAAGCAAGCCCTAAAAAGAATCTATTTTAACTTCAGAAAGGGTGTCTTGAAAAAGTCTATCCAAAATGTCTCATTAATTTTGAAATAGTGAAAGCTAAAAGCATTCACTGTAGTCAGGAGTAATACAAGAATGCACATTGCTACCATAGATATTCAGTGTGCTAAAATCAAGCTACAGAAAGCTAGGTTCTTGCCATTGTAATAAAACAAAAAAAACAACAAGAAAACAAAAAACAACAACAACAAAAACAAAGCAACTAAGGGAAGGGATAAAGTTGTTATATTTTCCAGATAAAGTGATTATCTGCTAAGAGCCTAAGGTAACCAATTTTACAGGGCCCATCTGAAGTAGTTAATGTTGGTGCTGAGGTTGGCAGTCCTGTTGAGGAACACATAGCATGGGCAAAGTCCCGCATTTGATCTCAGTATTCCAACTAGTAAAGAAACACATTCTCCTTTTTTGTTTGTTTCTTTTAAAATATTTTATCAAAAATTTTACATAATATATTTTGACTATATTTTCCTCTTTCCAAACTCCTTCCAGATCCTCTCTGCCTCTCTACTTAGCCACCTTCTTGGTCTCTCTCTCTCTTTCTAACAGGAAAAACAAAACAAAACAAAAATCAAGACAGACTATAAAGAAAATCAATAAAACAAAAAATACCCAAACAAAACAAAAAGTGCACAAAAACAAAACACGGTGTCTGTTTTGTGTTAGCCAACATTTCCTGGGATAGAGCCTGTCCTAGAGTGTGAATGGTATACCAGTGATGTATCATGGGAAAAAACAGATTTTTTTTCTTTTTCCCTGTCTCAGAAGCTGTCAATTGCGAAGAGCTTCTTTCTTCTTCTTCTTCTTCTTCTTCTTCTTCTTCTTCTTCTTCTTCTTCTTCTTCTTCTTCTTCTTCTTCTTCTTCTTCTTCTTCTTCTTCTTCTCCTTCTTCTTCTTCTTTTCTTTTTGAGACAGGGTTTCTCTGTATTGTTTTGGAGGATGTCCTGGAACTCGCTCTGGAGACCAGGCTGGCCTCAAATTCACAGAGATCCACCTGCCTCTGCCTCCCGAGTGCTGGGATTAAAAGCATGAGCCAGCAACGCTGGGCTGCAAAGAGCTTCTTAGCTAAGGTTGGGATTTTGTGTCTACTTCCCATCTTCAGTGCTGGGATTTTTGTTTGGTTTGACCATGGGCAAGTTTTGTGTATGCTGTCACAGTCTCTGTGCATCAGTCCCGCTGTGTCTAAAAGGTGCTGCTTCCTTGGAGAGTCATCGGCTACCTCTGGCTCTTACAATAGCTGTCTGTCTGCTCTTCTGTCTAGGTCCCTGAGCCCCAAGGGGAGGGCTTTAGTGAAGACACCCCATTTAGGAATGAGTGCCCCGAAGTCTCTCACTCTGCACACTGTGCAGCCTTGGGTCTTTCTGCTCATTTCCATTCTGCTGCAGGAGCTTCTCTGACGAGGGCTGAGCGATGTGATTCAGCATTGGGAGGCTGAGACAGAAGTGTCTTGTGCTGTCCTCTGACCCCATATGTGTCTCTTCAAGCACATGCTCTCCTAAGCCCCATAAGCGAATAAGTGTGAAAAATATTGGGAGAGGTCTGGGGCTAAGAGCACTGGTTCCTCTCGCAGAAGACTCAGGGTCAGTTCCCAGCACCCACACGGTGGCTCACAACTGTCTGTAACTCCAATCCCAGGGGATCTCATGTTCATCTGACCTCCTTGGGCGCCAGGCATGCAAGTGGAACACATACCTACCTGCAGGCAAACCACTCATACACAGAATTTTAGTAACATTGTTTTTCAAATCTTAGGCAGACAATTCCAAGACACACTTGTTTAAAATGTGTAAATTATGAGATCAAGGTATATTATTTGTACACATGCAGATGTCATAATGGTATCTGATATTTTATATAATAAATATTTCTTAATGCAAATTACATTCATATATGAGATACAGAACAGGGTAGCAGTCATTTAAATTCTGTAGGTAAGTTGGGGTTCGAATCTCAGCTCTGCCACTGGTCAACTGTGTGGTGTGGGCAGAATCTCCCAGCCTTTCTGTGACTGTAGAGGGTTGTGGGGGTGAAGCAGACAACATATGCAAGTGCTTGGAATGCTGCCTGGCATGGAATAAGAATCCTTAACATCACTCATTATTTCATCTGCTGTGAAACAGAAAAATTCAAAAATAGAGAAAAATAACTCAAACTCAGCGAAGGTTCTAATTGTTCTTTTATGACAA